TAGACACTGATTAGATCCCCTCTCAGCCTTCTCTTCTCCAGGCTGAACAGGCCCAGCTCCCTCAGTCTCTCCTCATAGGGCAGATGTTCCAGGCCCCTGATCATCCTTGTAGCCCTGCGCTGGACTCTCTCCAGCAGCTCCACATCCCTCTTGTACTGTGGGGCCCAGAACTGGACACAATACTCCAGATGTGGCCTCACCAGGGCTGAGATTTTCCTTATTGTTTAAAACACATATTGAACCAGTTTTACTAAGAATCTTCTGCTTTCATTTCACGGGACAGAATCAGTAAGAGAGTTGTGGAACATTTTGTACTGTTTCACTGGTCTCAATCTCATATCTTTACTCCTTCCTGTGTGCAATGGAATTTATTATTATTATTCTTTTTTTACACTGACACACTGGACCTTGTTTTTCAAAAATTTGCTTTCATTACTTTACATTTTACATAATTGCTATTCATTTTCTTGAGAGCGGTGATTGTGTAAGAATGTGTAGGAATGTAGCGTAGGAGTGACCTTTCACAAATATTGGTATCTTTCAAACTGAGACAGCAGAGCGTATTCCAAAGCTGTTTTCTTCCGAGAAACAGGAATTCTAAGCTCCCATTCTGCAGAGGAGAGAAGAAAGCACCGCACGGTTGGAACGGCTAGTCCTGCTCCGGGGCAGGACGCAGCACGAGGCAGCTCTGAGCCACTGCTCTTCTGCACAAAGCGACAGCCACGTGCCACAGCACTAGGACCCCTGCATTGCACAGACAACTATAACTGCACTCAGACTGACCTTTCCTCTGACGGTGCACATGGGTTCCACGTTGCTTTCAGAACTGCAGAGACTTTTTAATCAAGCTACTCATGAAGACTGCTAGATCCTTCCGAAGTTCACGCCAGCTGGAACGTGCTGTATGAACTGTCTCCATTTCCAATCTTTTGCATTTATCAGGTACATTTCATGTGTCAGTGTGCTGTCCCCATCTTCGTTTAAGAAGATCATCCTCAACCTTCTCCTGAAGTTTAGCCTTTTAAACTAAGTTTAACAATGAAAACAATTTTGTGTTCACAGCGCTTTAGTAGACTGGACTCTGATGAAGCCATAAAGGAGTAGGAAGTTATACAGAGCTCACGGCAAAAATGAACACGAGCTGTTTGCAAGCACAGCAAGCCTTTCCCAACGCAGATCTCTGCAGCACACTGCTAAAACTACCTCTTTCTTTTTTTTTTTCTCCCTGGGAAAAGCTTAATTAAAGGGATGCATTCATTCAACATGCCTGCTCTAACTCTCATTTCTGAATCCTAAGTTGTGAATCAGTGAGAGAGAGAGGAAAAAAAAAAAAAAAGCGCACTTGTACACTACCCTGATTGAGCATACACATTTACCTTTCCTGAGTTCTTCTTTCCTGAGGACAATCCCAGAGATGGAAGTAAGCACCAGTAAACAAGTTCCTTCTTGTTTCTGCAGCAATACCATTTTACGACATTTCCCCTCAACCATCCAGCTCCTGCCCTCATATCACAAACACATCTTTCTTTCAGCTGATCTGACACAACCTATTCGCAGGGCTATTTTGTCAACCACATCACAGCACAGAAACAACTGTGCTCAGACACAAGATATCCCATACAAATCCTTGGAAATGGGA